CAACGTTCCTGTGATACACATGAAAGGCATTCTAGGAAAGACTGTTTGGATTAACCCCACCACAGGCAGGGGCAAACCCATCCATGGGGTTTTTTTTGCTCAAGGAACTGGTTACACTTGGTGGGTAATGCAGAAGGATGGGAAAACCCATTGTGTACCACAAGGAGACCTAATTTTAAGCGAGAACTGTATGTGAAGCTTCAGTCTGTATTTGTAAAAATATGTTGGTTTGGGTATAGGTGGTAATAGAATAAGGAGCAGATTATGTCCTAGGTTATAATATTGGGGTATATTCCATTACCCCACCTCAAGATGCAATCCCTTTCTTTCCTTATCTCGTGACTCAGAGGTAAGTCCCTCCAGGAGGACCTGTTCTTTTAGGCAGATGACTGATAAGATCACAGCATTCTGTTGTGAGATGCTCCGCCCATAGGGAGGAGCCAAATGATGCCATCAAGGATATGAGCGGGGTTGTGCAGACAGCAAGGAGATCCACTCTTCCAAGGGGAACAGCTGAGACCTTCTCTACACTGGACCTCCAGAGGGAAACTACATCAGTCTACAGGAGCACTGTTTGGACAGAGCCATATCTGCTACCACCGCCCTAGCCAGCAAATGTCAGGTTGTATCTCTAACTCTGTCAGTGGTTCTTCTTTTGTGCTATTGTATGTATTTGGTTCTCTGTTCCCTTTTTCCTAATAAATTGTACTTCTGACTTAGAGCCTCTCACTGGTTTTGCTTTTCAAACCAGGACATTGGTAAACTGGATTGAGCAAGACGTCTAGATTAAAATTGATCCACCCAATGAGGGTTAATTAATGATTTTTATTGTCTGGTTCACTGTATGATTGATGGGAGGGATGGAAGCAAAGGGAAAGGGTTGGCTCTGAGCAGTTTGGGAATATAGAAGCAGTGTTGCCTTGAAAAGACATGAAGCTACAATGTAAATGTGCTGGGAGAAGACCTTGTACTGACTAAATATTTTTACTCCTGTTCAGTTTGCATCACAGAGAATTGGCATAATAAACTAGTTCCTGAAGTGAAGTAGAATCCATTATTTCAATTCCCATGAGAATTATTTGTAATAAAACACTGTTTAGCAGTATAAACTTTTTTAAAGTTAATATATGTAGTGGAAAAATAAATTTTTGCTTCTAATTGAATTTTGCTACCTATTTTAATATATAAGATTTGTGAATTACAGATTTTTCCTGAGCAGGTAATTATGTACATCACCTGTTTATCAAATGGTGTCATCTATAAAATAGATTTTAATCTGGCAGTGCCACTAAGGCCTGCTTTAAATTTCTCATCTCTCTTCATTTGCAGCTAAGTGGTTATAATAGGACTTAAGTGTTTCCCTCTCCTGTCTTTTATTTTTTTTCTGACTAGCTAGTTGATTTATGATAAAGTATTTCATGTTTTCTCTGTAAATTTTGCTATATCACTGGATGCTCATTTTCTCTGCTGGGCCCTCTTTTTAAAGTCATCCATTGGAGATATTTTTGTAATTTGTCCTAAAACAACTGTCCAAACATGAAATAGCTATAGTGTAAGCATCTGCATTTGAGTGAGTCAGTGTAAAGTCTGTTGAAGCATGGCTAATACCATAGGCCTGCATGTGGTCAGGCAAGCTGTGTGATGGTATTTGTGGACTTGGTTAGGTCACCTTTTGTTAACCATGAAAAAGTCCTACGGTAACTAGGTCAGCTGTAAAACCTCTGAAGTGTAGTGAGGTGAATCCCATCTGGCCCTACTGGGATGTTCCTGTTGGGACTTTTTCCTCTTCAAAGCCTCAGGCCAGCAGTCTTGGCATTTATTTTGGATAGTATATTTTGCATGGCAGTTGGCATCACATGGACTAAGGTTGTCTCTCTTGTCTTGTGATAGCAGGTACTCTTCTTGCTTGGCTTTTAAAACAAACTCCATAAGAGAGCAACAGTAGTAACTGGGAATTTGGTTCACCTCTCGTGTTCTGCAATATGGTGTTTCTCTGTTTTGATTAAGGTATCCTTAGAAGTATCTTCACTTGGCAGATAGTGAGAATCCAGTTGATTCCTGTTCTTTAGACTTTTCATAGCCCTAAGAGATGTTACAAATACTTTGTTGTGGAAAATTGTACATGTAAAGTGATGGAGATGGTATTTTCCCTTGGATCACTCCCTCATCCAGTGTGGACAACTGAGTTGCCCCTTACCAGTCACTTCAATGACAAATTCTACCAAACTAATTTACTCTTTTTGTTTGCTTGTCTTGTGCGATAGATGAGGAAAAAATACCTGGTTTTCTGTGTTTGTCTCTGTGTTTACAGTTCATACCAGTAGAGTTGAATTCCTCAGCTTTAGAGTTTCTTCTATTTAATTCCTTCTAGTCCATTGAGATGCTTGTAATGTTCTTGGAGTGTTCATGGAGTGTCTAGCTTGTGATACGGCCAGATTTTAAATATGATTCTTGTAAGCACAACTTTCAATTTTTTGTCTGATTTGCAGTGTTCACTTGACATCTAGCTCATTACTGAAGCTTCCCTGTCTATGCTGATAGTCAGATGGTGCTTCTCTCAGACCAAACTTGCTTTGAGAACTGTGTAATGGAAGAGTAGGTTATTGCATAAGTTTATATTCACTACTATTTCCTCTATCTCTCTTTCAAGCTCATAACAGAGGAGAGATTCAAGGATGCCAGCACAGTCTGGCCAGGAGGGATCCCGAGCATTGCCATTCTGTTGTTTGCTTGGAATAGGTTGGCACTGTCAAGAATTCTGTATGGTTCAAGCTGTACATCAAATACTTCTATTCATTCCCATCCCTGGAAGCACTCGCTTGCTGCCTGGCTTCTGCAGGTGGGAGGAAGCAGGAGGTTGTGTGAGCACATACTGCTGTTCATGATCAGAGTGAAGTGGCATTTGCTCTTTGAGTCCTGCACAGGCAGAAGGCTCCCAGGTCTGATTGGTTGTGACACAGGCACAGTGGCTTCTTTTACAACACATGTGTAATATAGTGCTTGTAACCTTCTGACTACTGCTAAATAACTGTCTTTTAAATAGAAGCCATGTTTTGTCTGTGCCTCCAGGAAGCTGCTGAGTGTGAAGACACTGCACATATGTTGCAGAACAGAATTCACAGTGACAGATTGGACTGATGATAAGAAAAATTGGTTACAGTTAAATAAAAACAAATTCCAAGATCTAAACCATGAAATGCAGATAGAAAACACAAGCATATTGCATCACAAAATAAAGATGTCAGCTTAGAAAAAGATTTACCTGGGCCTTCATGCTGAACCATGTAAACCATTGGTAAACCACTGTATGAGCCACAGGTAAAGAGCACTGTGTGTAGGGCACACCAATACTCAATAATGGAGGATTTTTGTAAAGTAATTCTGGCCAGTTCAGGCAAATCAGAAATTCAAGAAGACAGTACAAGTGCTGAGCGTTTTGGGAACCAAGCTTCAGGATCCGGACTGGTTAGCAAGGTTTGTATTAATCTAGAACAGTGTTTTTTCAGCTTTTTTTTTTTTTTTTGGAAACATAATAGTTTTTTTCCATGTTTGGAGTTGCAGATTGAATAAAGAGCTTTTAAAAGCCTGTATGTAGTAGGAAGTCTCTTCAAAGCTATTTATGTGGGCCCTTAAAACAGCTTATGGACCACAGGTGCAAACTACAGATCTATAGATCAGATTAGAAGTGTGAAGATAGAAAGGGAGAAAAGGTGTCTGCGATGACGTAAGAGAAAAACATTTAAAAAACTGTTCCCTCCATCCCATGTGGTGTGAGACTAGAACAGTGAACTTAAGCAGCAACAAGGAAGGATTATAGCACATAACAGATCCATTTTTAATAACATAATGATACATGCTGAGAAAAGCTGCAGAAAGTCACTATGTTAGATGAAAAGAGTAAAAATTACTTGGTGGGCAGAAGGAAAATTATCTTGAGCATATCTGAAAGTTGGATATAACAGCTCAAATAATGATATTTAAAGCACTTCGACATGCTTTGCCCGTAATGAATACTGCTGAAGAAATACTGTTTTGTTCCTGAAAGGTGACCACATTTCCATAGTGGATTACTGTATTTTACTACTTTTTGTGGGATTACATCATAAAGAATACGCTTGACCACATGAGATGTAAACCCTTGGGTGACAGATGTAAACCCAAGGGTTTACATCAGGGCTTACACATGGGATGTAAACCCTTGGATGTTCAGGCCTCTTTGACCACTGCATGTTGTGCTGCATCTGTGGTCCCCAGGGGGGGCCCCCAAGCTGTGAATTCGCTGGTAGCAGCAGGCAGGCAAGAAGACTCCACACAGCTTCTGAGAGTGCTAATTAGATGAGGGTTTATTGGGGGTCCTACCCCTGGGAAGCAGCATGGTTTCTGAGGGAGAGGGGAGGGGAGGAGGAGAGAGGGAGAAGCTAGGGAGAAAAGGGCCAAAGAGAGCCTGGTCTCCCCATCACACTTATCAGGGTCATTCAAAGTGGGCACAGAATAAGACTTGGGCCAATGGGATTACAGATACATGATACTTTAGGGAAGGATTACAAGCTTGGAGTAAACTGTACTTTTTTGAGGGGTGAGACAGAGCATACCATTTAACTAAAATGTAGCATCACAATTGCATGCACTTTGTTTGCTTCATGGACTGTACTGCAAAGTAGAAGGTACCGGATTTGAAGCTGCCAAATAAAAAAGTACTGTTTATACTTTGTGTGTGTTGCCATCTCTTAGCTGCCAGAGTTGCCTTCTCGTTTTTCTCTTGTCTGTCCATGACATGTTTTTTACTGTACCATGCATTTACAGACCATAGTACCAGCTTCACATTTTGGGGGTGTTCCAGGTCAGTGATCAGCAGCATTTGCAGACTACTGTAGGAGCCATGTAGTGGTGAGCTGGGCTTGATGAAAGGTATCTGATAACAAAATACCTGTGGCTGTAATTAAAACATGCTCAGGGTGGGTGTGCACCCATATAAGTATAATGTACTTTTGTTTTTCCAGCTACAAGAAGAAAGATGCAGATTTGTCTGTGGCTCAGGGTCGTATCAAGGATCTGGAAGTTCTCTTCCATAGAAGTGAAGCAGAACTCAATACTGTCCTGAATGAGAAACGCAGTCTGGAAGCAGAGGTGGCTGATCTGCGTGCCCAGCTTGCTAAGGTATGGTAGGGAATGCTCTCTTGCTTGAGCACAGGACAGGCTGTGTAGCTTAAATTCCCTTTTTTCTTTGCAGTTAGTTTATAGTCTGGACATCAATGATGCACCTTGCTCACTGCTGAATCTTTGGCTGCCCCTCTTGGATACAGAATGAAATTTTAAGAAATCTATGTAAAATATCCAAAGCAAGACAATGTTTTAGACATTTTGGTTGTCAGATGTTTGTTTTTTTTTAAATTCCTGATGTGTTTATATCTTGAGTCATTAAATATTATCCTTTGTAAGGTCCTGCATTATTTTACACCTGTGCTGGAGTACCCAGTGGGACATTGCTAGCAAGAAAAAGAAAGTGCAGTGTATTGTGCATGAGGAATTAATAATCCTTAGCCCCTTATCAGAGTGTATTGAACTAATCCTACATTTTAAATAGCTGATATGCTTGTTTTTTTTTTTCTGGAGCTTTTTTATTTATTGTGTTTTCTTTATGGTGGTGGTGTGGATTGGTTTTCTTTAAATCAATGGCTAGATATTAGTTTTGTTGTTGTGAGTAACTGCTCCAAAGACATCAGATGAAGACTGTAAGAGGTTTATGGATGGACGATAGGAATCCAGACAAAATTATCTTTAAAATTCTTTACTAGGCTGAAGATGGTCATGCTGTGGCAAAGAAGCAGTTGGAGAAGGAGACACTCATGCGTGTGGACCTGGAAAATCGGTGCCAGAGTTTGCAAGAGGATCTGGATTTCAGGAAGAATGTATTTGAGGAGGTATTATCAATCTAGTAATCTTGCCACTGTCTAAAGTTATGTAGCTTTTAATCAAATTGACTATGAGCAACTACTAACTAGTCCAGGCAGAGAAAATCAATATTATCCTTCCTATAAATGGGTTGAGTAATAAAATATGTGAAGGTTTTATACCTGTTTACATGGTAAATCAGTGGTGGAATCAGTGTGAGAACCAGGTGACAAGAGTATTGTTCCATGGGCAAGTGAACTGGAGCCAGCTGACTGCTGTGGGAAAGGGAAAATCTTTTTCCCTCTCTCTGGACCTGTTTGCATGATCCTGCTCTTTACTTACACCGGCTTTGGTTGCTGGACCTGATTATAACCTGTTTTTATTGACTAGAATAGTATGCAACTGCCTTGCTTATTGCAGAGGTAGTTTTCTGCCTGTTAAGTGAATAGTTCTAGTAAAGACCAAAATTTTTGTAATAGTGGGAATAGGGAGAGGAAGGCAAGACTCTCTCTGTACCTGATGCAAAGTGTTATGTCTGTTTATTCCATCTCTGGTGGCTCTGCTAGCTCATTCAATTAGTGGCTGCTGAGCAGTCGCCACCTGCTTCCACTGTTTATCTCATCTACTCTAGGTGTGATTCACCTAACCATTTCAACCAGATTAACTAGAAACATAATAAAGTTTTCTTGGTTGAGTTTAATTTTTGACTGCTTAGTGGCTGAGTTGATTTACCACAGAATCCAGATGAGTGCCAGGGACAGGGCTATGTGGCTAAGGACAGGAGACAGGGGCTGGAGTAGGGCAAAAAAGCCAACCAGGGAGATCAGCCTGAGATGTACTGACCATAGTCTCATTTCTATGCCCTGGAGTGGTTGGATTGGTACACTGACTGCGGTGACAGATCCTTATTTGCTTGTAGGACCTTAAAATAACTTTTCTTCTTGGGAATAATGTGTTGTTATTGAATGAAGGTGAAACTAAATGAGATAGCAGAAGCTAATCCTAAAGCTTGCTGTGCTCAAGGGTATGTTCTTTAGCCATTTCTGAAGCTCTTTGATTCTTGTATGCACCAATTCAACACATGAAGCAATAAATTGATTTCCTTTACATTAGTGAATTTATTTGGTTTACTGAAGGGTCCAAATCTCCATTAGAATTGAGTCATCATGACTGGGGGTGTGGCAAGTGAAGCCTGCTTATTCTAGTGGTGTTAAACTGCTGGATCAGCTCGGCCCTTCACCTGATCCTTTGTAGTCCCCCACAATATTCCTTTAGCTTCTGAGCTGTCATTGCCTACAGTTACTGAGAGACTGCTGCTTGCTAGTTTTCTTGGTGTAAAAATTAACCACAGAAAGAAAAGTTTATTCCATATCACTTCAGAGCACATTGCTGCTAGTAAAAGGACATGTTTCTGGGAATCTATTTTAGATGTAGAGCATTTCTGTTAAACAACTAGTAAAGTTGTTTTGAGTATGTGTTAGCCTCCTATGACTCCAGTCTAGCAAAATTGAGCCTTGCTTCACTTGCTCTTGTTCCTCATGGCCCTGCTGCTAACTTCAGGCGTCCTCCCAGTACTCAGAGCTACTCCTTGGTTGTTTGTCCTGCCCTGAAGGAAGAAATTATTTTTCTCATACCACACATTCAGATCTAGCCAGTCTCTGCATGAATATGTGCATGAGTAAACCTTACCTTACTAGTTTGCAACCAGTGTTCTTAAGCACAGAAAACAAATACACTTCTAAAAATGAAAATTTCTCAGTGCGAACTCGGATCATAAAAAATTATGTCTTCAGGATTGCTTGGATTGCTGCTTTATTAATGCTGTAATCGAAATCTAATAAGAAGAGGACATCAAGTATATAGAACATAGATGAGACCCACATGTGCTTAAGAGTGAAATTTGAAGATGCAGTTTTTCTCTATAATTTTTTAAAATATATATAATGTTCACAAATGGTGTTAATTTTCATTTGACTCCTTGTAGACTGCTATTGTAATGTCAGGATGCATATTGAGATGACAGGGTTTGTATTGAAGCATATGGAATCTCTTTGCTATGTAAAAATTGATGTTTTTTCCACCTCCCTTCCCCCCATGTTGACTTTTGTAGCATAAACCAGCCCCTTACTTAGACAGTATGTAGGTATTTTTGAAGCTGGTGTTAAGTTGGATCACTTTAAGAATTACATCCTGACAAATGAGAACAGTAATTTGAATCTGTTAGTGCACGCAGCAATTCCCAGGCTTAAATGCCTGTAATACTGTAGCTCCATTATGCTAAATAGTTAGTACTGCAGTAGTTAATTGTTGTCTGAATGTAAATACTTGAACTGTTTACCTTAGTGTGGGAATTTGTCCCTCTTTGTATGTGTGTATGTAGGAAATAAGGGAAACAAGAAAACGACATGAACATCGTTTGATTGAGGTGGACACAAGCCGCCAACAGGAGTATGAATCTAAAATGACCCAGGCTCTGGAGGATCTGCGAAATCAACATGATGAACAAGTCAAACTGTATAAGATGGAGCTGGAGCAGACATATCAGGCTAAGGTAACAACTGCTGTCCACAGCACTGTCAGACTGGAAGCCCAGTTTTTGAGATAAAAACCACTTCTACCAGCTCTACTGGACTTGTGTGAAGGTGCATTTCCAGGGAGGTTATAGCCAAGAAGCAATAGCTTTAGTCAAGAGAGGTCAGTGAGAAAACATGTGGAGCTGTTGTTGGTCTCTGCAGAAGACACAGTGGGAATAGTGGATGTCAAACAGTAGCTGATTAGACAATGTCTTCTGCTATAAGGGTTCTTTTCTTATATCAGTAGATCCAGTTTTTCTTCACAAATGGAGGGGTTGGGAAAACTTGCAATATGGTCAATATGTTGTGCATAAGAAGCTGGAGGGGGGGATTGGAAGTGGATGTGTCTCAGTATTGGCTTTTGCTTGGATGCAGTGAGCTTGCAAACTAACACAGACACACTGGAAGGGGCTTCTTATCTAAGGGGCATTGTCACTTTGCTCTTAACTGTGGCTGTTGCAGTGTTCATAATCACGCCAATACACTTTTAAATATGTCTAAGCCTTGCAACATTTCAATGATCTAAGATAGTTCTGGACTGGAAAATTACTAGATGCAGCTGTGAATTCTTTGGTGACAGGGAAGCTTCAGGCAAGATACCAGATCTTTCTTAACCAGCTTTGATGATGAAAACCATGGTATGTAATTGGAAATCATAGAATTATAGAGTGGTTTGAGCTGGAAGGGACCTTTAAAAGCCATCTAGACCAGCCCCCTGCTGTCACTGTTGAGGCAGGACGGGAATGAGAAGACTTACTCAGAAGGCTGCTGAGAGTAAAAACTCCGGTTTATTCAAAATACACTGCTCTTTTATACAGAGCTTCGTGAGGGCCAATTACATTGGACCTGAAGTGAGAACAACTCACAGCATTGGTGCAAAGTGCTTGACGCAAAGTGATAGAACTTAACTATAAACAATGTGAATAACAAGAGAGATAAAGAATTATTTACATTCTTCTCCAGCTCTTTCCCAGGCTTCTGCCTGGATAGACACTCTCAATTTCTCTTTGACTGAATCTGAGACCCACATTTCCCCCTTTTTGTTTAAAGAAGGAGGCGGTGTTTGTCTCCTTTCTGCAGGGCCTTTTGCAGAAGAGAGGACAAACACGACTCCGAGGTTCACTAGTTGATAATTCAAAACCTCATTGGATGTTGGCTCAGAATGGTCAAAGAGCTTCCAAACATATAATTTTCAAGGAATCAGTTACCAACTCTAAGATTGTAACAACTCATTGTCAAACTGTCAAAGGACTGGCAGTCCAACTTGTCAAAACCCATTTCCCAGTGTGAGCATGACATGACAGAAAAGAAGGTATTTACAACACAAGCACATACCCAAATCAGCCAAATTTGAATTTGGCAAGATGCATAACATCTGTTTGCCACAGCTGCAAAGCCTTTAGGCCTCTGGGATTTGTCCCAGCCAGTAAGATGCAGCAGGTGAAACATTGGTTGGCATTCATCAGAATTGCTTTTACAAGGTGTGTGTTAATAAAAGAATCATGCAAGGCTTTGCCTATGCAATCATGTCCTCAATGGACAGCTTGAGTGATGAAATTGAACTCAGGTCCAAATTGCATCCTCAAAGCTTTCAAAACAATTGAATTAAATTGACCCAATTCAGAAAGGACCAAATTCAAAACACTTGAGAGACCTCTGAAATGCCATGAAATCTCTGAAATGCCATGGCCACAGCCCTTAATTCAATCACTTGGGCTGAGGTTGATTTGTGGCTTTCCAGTACTTTGAGCTGTCAGTGAAAACACAGCTCTTTCTGCCTTTTTTTTTTTTTTTTGAAGAGCCAGCGGCAGGCTCTAGGACCCAGCGATGCTTGTCAAGGCGGGGGACCCGGCTCCGTGGGCAGGGCCAAGTGTCCCAAATCCAGCCAGGGGGGCGGGGAGCCCAGGCTCTCTGCTGAGCCAAGATTCACCTGGCTCGGCCCCCAGCTTCTCTTTGGTATTTCCTGGGGCCCCTGAATTTGGGGTCCCTGGGACACTCCAGGACCACTGATAAATCAGCAACCTCTCCCAACCTTACAGTTCAGTGCACGTCCCCAACAGGCTGCGAGAAATGCGGCAATTCCTCCGAGTTTCTGCTCTCCCCTCACTCCGCTTAGCCATGGGTCTTCCTACAGCTTCATGGCATCCCGCTCCACAAACCACAAGATAAGGATGCAAATGGTATGAGAAGGGTGGGTTTCCCCAGGAATATAAAATTCCACCCGGGCTCCAGGGCTCCCTGCACCACCCAAGCCCGCCCAGAACAAGGGGCTGCTCCTCTCTTCCAGTGTGCCTGTGCTGCCGCAGAATACAGTCGATCACTGCACAGTTCCCTGATTCGCGGCCCCACACCCCTCATTCCCAGCTTTGGGACCAGCAGCAGTGGCGCTGCCGCTGGCCAAGCCGGTGCCTCTTCCCACCCCCTCTCCCTTGGAGGGACAGAACTCGGTGCAGTCTGGAGGAAGCGAAGGGCTGAATTCATTGTCCAGCGCGGGACTCTTGGCCGCCAGATCGCAGGGTGGAGCCGCTGCTGATGAGCCAGCTTCAGGGGGTGCAGTGGCTGGAGCTACTGCATCCTGTGGTCCCTTCCCCACGGTGAGCAGGGCGGGAAGCACCACCGCGTCTCCCGGCAGCGGCAGCCACAGCACTTCCGCCAATTCCAAGGTCGGTGGCAGCAGTGGCACTCTTGGCGCTTGCAGTTGCAATGCAGAAGGCAGCATGGGCACTGGAGCCGGCAGCGGGCAGTGCCGCGGCTGTGGCGGTTTCTCCTGGGAGTGACACTGGCGGTCCTGGGGTGGGCAGAGGCGAGGCTGCTGCTGCTGCTGGAGCCAGTGGTGGACAGGACAGTAAAGCCTGCTGTTGGCAGGGGTGGCGGCATGGCAAGCGTGGCATGGAAGGCAGGCACCATCCCCAACGCAGGAGTCTATCCCACAGTGGGCAGGGGGGAGAACAACATGGGTGTCCCGCCCAAGACGTGCTGTTGGACAACTAATGCCAGCACAGTAAATGAAATCAAAACAGCCGGTCCACATGGCACGCAGAGGGGTGGACCGGGAGTCAAAGGCTGTCCCTTCGCTACAGCTGAAATCCCCGCAGGTGGCGGTGGGCATGCCAGGGGATGGACCAAAGGCTGCAGTGGCGTCTGCGCAGGCTCCATCAGCGAAGGAGTCAGGAGGCAACCCCCACTCCGTGACATGATGCGGGCAGTGCCAGCCTCCCCACAAATGTGGTTTGGAAAGGAGGGGGCTTCAGGGCCATGGGCGGCGGCGGCTCCTGCCAGTCCAGGGCCACCCTGTGCAGTCCATGCAATGCTGGGTGTGCTGAAGCTGATAGCTGTGGCAAAGGCACCCCGGCTGCCTCCTGAAGGGCGGATGATGTCGCCGACACTGCGTTCAGGGCAGAGTGCACCTGTGCAGCCAGCCACCACACGGGCTGTGCCGCGGTCTGTGTCCGGAATCCCGAAATGTTCTGGTCAGAATCGCTGCCTGTGTCCAAGGCTATGTTGATGCCTGCCCAGATTGCAGCCAAGTCAGACGCTGTAGTGTCACCTTTGTGCATTTGCGCCGTGAGACAGCATCCCAAGTCGAGCCAGACCTTACGATCAAAGGAGGACCTAGGATTCACAGAAAATCCCTGATCCTGAGCCCAACTCAAAAGTCTGACCAGGTCTTCCTCAGAGAGCCAAGCTCCCACAAGAGGGATGTAGGCTCACCAGGCAGTCAAGACTGCTCGCTCGACTGCAGATGGCTGGTTTCCCATTGTTAGGAAACCTTTCCCTAGCAGATGTCAACTTCAAGAGTCCGACAGTCCGCTATTTCAGGGAAAACCCATCCCACGCAGTTCTGACCTCTAAGAGCCAGTCCGCAGTCCAAACAGGACCATGCCTTCTCCGGAAGGCAAGAGGTTTCAGCTTTACCTTTCTTTAAGAAGGCAAAGGTGTCCAAGCACAGCCTCCAGGCTGTTGGCGTGGAACCGCATCAGAGGGAGACCCCCCGCAAGATGCCAGGTTCGGGTCTGCTACCGAGGCTGAAATTCCACGTCAGGTCACCAGACCCTGTCCCTTCAGGGCAGGGTGCGTATCACGTCAGGGTCACCAGATGTCGCTGTCAAGGCAGGACGGGAATGAGAAGACTCTGATCAGAAGGCTGCTGAGAGTAAAATTCCGGTTTATTCAAAATACACTGCTCTTTTATACAGAGCTTTGTAAGGGCCAATTCCATTAGACCTGAAGTGAAAACAACTCACAGCATTGGTGCAAAGTGCTTGACGCACAGTGATAGAACTTAACTATAAACAATGTGAATAACAAGAGAGATAAAGAATTATTTACATTCTTCTCCAGCTCTTTCCCAGGCTTCTGCCTGGATAGAAACTCTGTTTATCTCTTTGACTGAATCTGAGACCCACACCCAGCCTTGAACAGGAATGTCTTTAAACTAGGCCAGGTTGCTCAGAGCCCCATCCTGGCAATTCTCACTGTTGAAAGTACTTGTCAAAGTTACAGCCACTTGTTCTTTTGTGCTGGAAGAATGATGGTACTGCTTACATTGTTCTCTCCCAGCCTTCACTGAGATTCCCTTTGAATTCTTTGGGGTAATGATTTGAGAAATACTTATCTACAAATATTTAACTATTACTTATGGCAGCAACCCTATAGATAATAGATACTAATACCCCAAAATTAAAATTAAAACCCCCAACACAGTTGACAGGGTTGGAATTATTCACAGAACTCTGGAACATGTAATACCTAATACAAGGAGCTATTTGGGTTGACTTGTCACAGTATGAAGGAGGTTCAGGATAGAAGATGCTTAGTAGAAAAAAAAAAAAATTAAAAATGATGCAATATACAGACTTAGAGAATGAAAAAGTGACAAGTTTTGAACAGGGGAAATTAAGCTGCTTTTTCCCTGCATAAAGGTGGTTGTTATGGATGAAGTTGGAGTATGGGGGGAAAGTGATTTAGCTGTGAACTTAGTTCTGTGATTTCTGAACAAAGACATGTCCCTCTTAGAGAGCCAAAGCTGGGGAGGAATATTATGTCAAAGCAAATCACTAGGTTTAGCTACTGAGCAGCTCCAGGATGAGATGGTCTTGGTTAAAAGCTCACTTCTTGCGCAGGGCAGTTGTGGAATGTCTGGAAAAAGTCCAAAGAAGGTCATAAAAGTCATCCTGAGGACTGGACCACCTCTCATGGAGAGAGTTGGGAAGTTTAGCTGGGATGTTCAGCTTGGGCAAGAGAATTCTCCAGGGAGACCTTATTGCGACTTCTGAATACTTAAAAACAGCTTCTAAGAAAGATCATAATGGTCTGTGGTAATAAGCAGTAGAAAGCCTGAGTACTTGGCACTATGCCAGCTTGACTGTAAAGTAGTGAAGGCTAGTAAAGTTGTCAGATTTCAAATATTTTTTAGTTTTAAACTTTACAAGAAGTAATGGCATGTGTAGTTGATGTTCCTTCAAAATCTGTAGCCTAAAGGCTCTGTGTGTGCTGCTCAGAAACTAGTGAACAGCAGAGCTAGTGAAGATTGATTTTGTAAACCTTTGTGCTGTGTGGCTAAAGAACATCTGCCTGTAACTGTTCTTAGAATTAGATCAATTTAGTTTTTGAGTGGATTCCATGGTGTGGCAAAATTGTTGAAATCCACCTCTAAGGCATATAAAGGATGGTTTTTCTAGCTCTCTGCTTTCATGAAACTTACCATGTAAGATTACTGGTTTTGCTCTGTTTTGGTTAAAATTAGCCACTAGAAATTAAGCTTGTTCACTAGGTGAATTTAACAAAAAATAAAAACCAAATTTTTTATTGGCAACTATTTTGGAAAGAGAATAAAACCAAACCAATTTTTTGCCTCTGGGACAGGATGTCATCTGGAGTGCCATGCATAGTTTTATTTGCAAAAGTACTACATAATTGACAGAGACAATTTAGAGTGGGAAACAATTCATGCATGAGAAAATTTTAAGTAAAATTTTACCTGGAAAAGAGATACGTTGCAAGAAGTGAAAGATACAATGGATGTCTGTAAGGGGAGAAATAGCATGGAGGAAGGTGAATGAGGAGTGATTGTTTGCTATTTTTCCAGTAGGAGCAGGAACAGTGAATGTCCAGTGAGAATGTCCAGATAGAGAAGAAACAGAAAGTATTGTTCTTTAATATAGAGCTAAACTCATTGTCCCAAAAATTCAAAATTCCTAAATTTTGACACAAATTCATGCCTGAGAAATCCACTGAGAGATAGTAAGCAGTAAAATATTTTCCCTGACTGAGGAAGTTCCTGAGTTGCATATAGCCAACAGAGACATAATACCCATGAAATATTTTATTGGGTTAGTCTCTGGGCATCCAGGGAACTGTTGGACCAGGACATGAATTAGGTAGGCAGCCTTTGCTGTCACCCAGTGTGATTTGCCTTAGGACAAACAAGCAGAGCATGTGGTCAGTTTTTTGGAAACTAAGGTTGTTTGTATAATGGGAGGGCTAATAGAGTATTTTTTTAACAGCATAAGTGAATCCTGAAATACATTTTCCTTCAGTCCTTAGGGCATTCCTTAATGTTATGCAGTTCTTATCCTAAACTTACCAGACCATTTAAAATTTTATAAAATTAAATACATGCTATTTTTTTACCAAAAGCATATTTCAGGATTTCTAACTCAGTACAAGTGAGCTATATAAAACTTTCATTCCAGCTGGAGAATGCCAAATTGTCTTCTGACCAAAATGACAAAGCTGCTGGTGCAGCTCGAGAGGAGCTGAAGGAGGCTCGCATGAGGATAGAAGCTCTTAGCTACCAGCTTTCTGGTCTTCAGAAACAGGTAAAGGGACTAAATTGGCTTTCATCTCAAACACACAGCTGTTTTATGTGAATATATTAATGTTTCTGACCCTTCATATTTTCTGAATTTTGCACAGAGAAATCTTTATGTTCATTTGGGAGGGAGAAGGGTTTTAACTTTTTGAGTGGACCTGCATGGATGCCAGGCGAGCTTTTTCTTCTGCTGTGTGCCCAGGCCAGTGCAGCAGAAGATCGCATTCGGGAACTGGAGGAAATGATGGCTGGTGAGCGGGAGAAGTTCAGGAAGATGCTGGATGCAAAGGAAAGGGAAATGACAGACATGAGGGACCAGATGCAGCTTCAACTTACGGAGTACCAAGAACTACTTGATGTTAAATTAGCCCTGGACATGGAGATCAGTGCTTACCGAAAGCTCCTGGAAGGCGAGGAAGAAAGGTGTGTAAAGAGTCCACTTTCTTTTCTAAGGACTCTTAAGTGTTACTTTCATTTCTTGCCCTTATTTTTTTACCCCTTGAACAGGAATGCCCAGATTACCTTTCACTGAAATTATATTGGCTTCACACCACAATGTTGTTACATGGAACACTTGTTCTCAGCTGAACACTGTACTTATTTTGGGGTTTTTGTAATGGTCTTGGAGTACAGTGAAATACACCGTTCTGTGCTTGGTCTTTATATCATCTTTTTAATTAAATGCTTGTACTCTATGGTTTTAAATCATGGGGCTCAAGAATAGTGTGTTAGATAGTAGCTGTACTGGAGGGAAGGGTTAAGGGATCTGTGCTGCTCTCAGTATCACAGCTTTCCATGTCACGTGGTCATACTGCAAGAACATTCCTCAGAAATGGGTAGCCCCCTCCTCCTCATATATGCAGTACTCTTGACATATAGAGTGAGAATACTGTCAGCCTTGGACCACATTACAGTCTGGTTACTTGATGATATTGTAGCTTTGTGGTTCTCTGGGTGAGTTAATTCAAATGTTTTCTTGGTTGTGTTAAGGTTGAAGCTCTCTCCAAGTCCCTCTTCCCGTGTCACAGTCTCTCGGGCTACCTCCAGCAGCAGCAGCAGCAGCACTTCACTTGCTCGCTCTTCCCGAGGCAAGAGAAAACGTATTGAAGCAGAGGAGCTTTCTGGCAGTGGAACTAGTGGGATTGGCACTGGAAGTATCAGTGGCAGCAGCAGTAGCAGTAGCTTTCAAATGTCCCAGCAAGCTTCATCTACAGGAAGTATCAGCATAGAAGAGATAGACCTGGAGGGCAAGTATGTTCAGCTTAAGAACAACTCTGAGAAGGTGAGCATCAGCAGAACTCATAGAAAACAAGCAGGAACTAAACACAGCCTTTTGCAGCATGAGTAGGTTCGGCCACGTGGAGAGCAGGAGCAGCATCTCAAGGTGCAGAATTCTGCAGGAATTAATGGGGACTTTAAAAGTTGAACATAATGGTGGGCTGACATGCTGCAGGAAGATAATACGATTTGTGTCCCAGGTGTGTAAATGTGTGCTGGGACATTGCTCACAGAAGCAGCCTGCTGTCTAGCAGAACTTTGTTGTGTGAAATGGTTGTCTTTTAAAATCTTGCTGAATGATGTTAAGGGATTTACACTTTAGACTCTGACTGGATATAGGCAAATACTTTCAAGGTAGAGTGCAAATGTCTAACAACCATATAGATAAATTTATATTCCTATTATTTTAATAACAAAGACCTAGATTCTGATGCTTGTTTGTTCTGTTTTGTTCACTCTGAATAACTTTCTGACTCTCTCCATTAGGATCAGTCTTTAGGTAACTGGAGACTGAAAAGACAAATTGGAGATGGAGACGAAATTGCTTACAAATTTACTCCTAAGTATGTCCTCAGAGCTGGGCAGACTGTTACAGTAAGTTGTATTTACCGTATGTCAACAACATATTCTTCTGTTGATGATGTGGCAATTGAAAATCTTGAAGTCTGGTATAGCCTGATTCGATTTCATGGGTCTCACTCTAGAGGAGCAAGATTTCAGTTATAAAAATGCAAACCAAAAAATTAATTTCTATATTAGTACTTCAGTATTTAAGACCATTTCTTTGGGCACATAATAAATAGAAGAAAAAGGTATTTTTGGGGATAAGTCAAGAACTATTTGTTTCCAAACACCTTTGCCCTGATTTAGAACCCTAATCCTTAAAGAATTGGGAACAGTTCAGAGCATTCATCCAGACTGTAGTTAAGATGGACATTGATAGCATTAACTGTAGTTAATGCTGTTGAACAGCTGCTTTTCAATAATTTTGTATTTTATTTTCAGTCTGCAACAGATGTTCTTTAGGAAGAAACAAATGTATCTTTTAATCATTTGCAGCTATTTATACTTAAGTATCAATTGTTCAGATATGGATAAAAGATTAAGTTGATGCACTATGTGTTGCTTTTTGCCTTGCAGTATGGTTATTGAGACAGTGGTAGGAGAAATTTGTTCAGAAAAGAATTCATGACTGCAGTATTAGAGTTTTTAATACCTTACTACAAGTAATAGTGTCATTAAAATTAGGGTAATTCCAACTGCCATTGGAATTCAGAAAAGAAACCTAGTATGTAGAGAGAAGTAAGAGAATTAGGGGGATATGTATATTTAAAAGAAAAAATTGGATAAACAGCTAATTACCGATTGTCATTCTCTCTAGATCTGGGGTGCAGATGCGGGCGTATCTCATAGTCCCCCTTCTGTTCTTGTGTGGAAGAATCAAGGCAGCTGGGGCACTGGTGGAAATATCCGCACTTATCTTGTCAACTCTGAAGGAGAGGTAGGCTGTGTCGATGGGTTGGGTTATCTCCCAAACTCTTAATTTGAGGGTGGGGAGACATGACACTATGACAAAATCCTGATTGTAAGATCTCTGTGTTGTCTTCTAATATGACAGTTTATAACACTGAAATAATTACATATTATTTATGTACATATCTCTGGCATTTTTTGGATATTTTTAAAAACTGTGATCATCATGATAATGCCCACAGACACTTATTTCCTATTTTAGAAGAATACCCTGCTAGTATAGAATTTGTTTGGAATTTGAGTATGTACTTTCAGAAGAGTAAAAAAAAGAAGCATTTCTGGCAATTCAGTTTCATTATATAGTCCTTATGATGTTCTGAGGTGCAATGTAAATATTAATGTAAGAAGATAATTGTCCTTTCCACGTTAGAAACATATCATAAGTTCTAATTTGGCAGAGGTTCCTGAGCATTCTGCATTGTCCTACATCTCTGCAGATGACTTTTGCAAGGAAGAATCATGCCTTGGCTGTTACTCATAACCATACCATTATCCAAGCAATCTGATAACAGTAGGAAAAGGAAACAGACCACAGTCATATCAGTTTTTGTGTTGCCTTTCTCGCAGTTTTCTGGAAGAACTTTGTGGGCAGGATGAGGTAGGAGAGGGTTAATTTGTACAAATAGAAAACTAATGCTCTCCATATTCAAACTGTGTGGTCAAACTAGTATTTGAAAAACTTTCAAATCTGTGTCTGTTTTCACTATTGTTACCTTTAGTATCCCTGCTTAGGAGTGTATGTTAAGGGCAACTTCTTCCACAATTAGAGATTTTCACCTGTGATTTCCATGGTGCAAGTAGGCAGAAGAATTTCTTACTATTTAGAAGTGTTAAAATAATTTAGTAGTAAAGGAAGCTTCCTGGAGTTTTAGAATGTCCTTTAGTGCCTGGCTTGTAAAACCATGCTGATAACCAGTGTATGCAATTAACATTGGATATTTATTAGAAACTGGGAGTATTCCTTATGTTGTGTAATCATACTGAGAAAGTTTGGTTTCTTACATTACACTGTGTCTCAGACAGCTCCTACCCGTGTCTGCTGTGACCTTGTGTAAAACTGACTGTGATCACCTGAAACATGTCTGCTTCCTCTTAAATCCCAGGGTAATGAAAAAAAATTAAGTGACTGAATTACATTACCATGCCTTTTAGTGCACAGAAATAGGAATTATGCTGTGGTTTGCAAGATATTGCTTGTATTTGCTTGCATAGTTAGTGGTTAAATGTAGGCCAAGTTGCTTTAAACTCTCCAAAATTTAATAAGGATATTACATTGATGATATAGCAAAAACTTAACAAATAGATAAAGACTCCTGGCCATCTCCTTATCTGTCATTTTGTGTAGGAAGTTGCAGTGAGAAGTGTTACTAAATCAGTAGTCATGCGAGAGAATGAAGAGGAAGAAGATGAAGCAGAATATGGAGAGGAAGACCTTTTCAACCAACAGGTAATCAGATGCAAACCAGATGTTTAACTTGTGCCTCATTAGTTGGATCAATCAGGCATAAGGTTTAGTGGGGGGATCCCACTTCAACTTTTGTCAACTCTGAGCTTCCTAGTCCTTTCTTCCAATGGTTGCTTGCAACATTGCAGTGCACCAAGAGAGGACAATGTGAGCAGTGCTGCCAGGAATTACTGCTGGGATCCATCCTGGTACAGCTCAGGCAGTGGCTGATGCCTGCTCAGGGTATCTGTGCTTCAGATCACATAGTTTCAGTGTTAGCAGGCAGTGTTCCTCCCAGTATATGCTGCCCCAGGGCATTCTTACTGGAAACAGGATATTACCAGATAACCACTGAAAACCGGGAATGGGGGTGCTTCTGTTGCTGCAATTATTTTTCTTAATAATACCACATGTATGTTTTGATAACCTTTAGTTTAATAATGTGAAATAAGCAACCTGCAGTTGACAGAGTAAAAAAAGGAGAAAGATATATAGGTGATACCAGAAAATATTTTAAATTTGAAACTTAAGGGATTTGTTCTTCTGATCAATGGCCATTAGTAGGTCTTTTCACAAAGAATGCATTCTGTGCAGGTTTGCAGGTGAGTTATCAATGCTTTTTTGGTCCCAAAGTTTAAGCAGTGTGTTTGTAGTATAAAACAACTGATTTTTCTTACCCAGAAAAACAGCTATACAATACAGCAGAGATTGCTCTCAAATAAAATCAGCATTTGAAATACAGGAACTTGCTGGTCTATAGCTAATCGCATCACAATTTTTGTTTGTCATCTGTATCACTGTTGGAAATATGGAGACTAACCAGTAAGCCTGTTGCAGGAAACCACAACCAGGGGCATGGCATGTACTCTACTTCCTCTTATGTGGTGATGTTCCCTTAATGTAACTAAACTACTAAAAATGTGCTTTTGACAACTGAGATGATAACCAGAGTTTAGGCTTGCAATCTGAATAGCTGGTAAGAATTGAATTCAACTCTGTCTCTTATTTTAGGGTGATCCCAGAACAACCTCTAGAGGATGCTCAGTGATGTGAAGAAAGAAGAAAGAAACTATTATTTACGCTTTTCCCCCTTCATTTATTTCCTTTTATTTTTGCTATTTTTTCCTTCCAGAGCCACTGAAAACTATTTTTATATGCATCACCTGATTTCTTTGACATTTACTCCTTGGTACATTTTTATAAAAAAATTCAAAAAAACTTTACTGAACAAAACTGCCAGAATTTTTAATAGATTTCTTTATTTTTCCCTCTTTGTTGAAACACTGTATTGGAATACAATATTTTTTCCCCCATACAGAATTTAAAGTCTTACATAGAAACCTAAAGGAGAAAAGAGATTTTTAGCTAAAATGAGATGAGACTCCTTGAGTGTATGGTAAATCTATAATTACATATATAACCAGTATAATACCCCAGAAAGAAAGTTTAATGAAGTGTGTTCATTTACAGGGCCCTGGGAGAGATTCACAGAGTGTTTCCTCAGCAGTTGTAGAAAAGCTAGTATTTTGCCTGGTATCCTCAGCAATTCCCAGCTTAGGAAAATTAGACCACAGATTCACTCAAAGTGCTGCTCCACAATTGCAATGACATGGGGAAGCTTCATTTTAGTAATTTTTGACTCAGGACCTTGCCATTGTGTCTTTCTTCAGGGTTTGACAGCCTAATGGTAAAACATCTGGGTCTGTCACACCTGAGCTCCATGTCATCATTTCAGAAGTTGAATGGTGGGTTCTGCTTCCTGAATATGCACACCATCCTAAGTTGGAAGTGTCAAACCCAGAGATTGAACTGTTTGATTTTTAGGGGATTTTGCCATTGTCACAAGTTAAATCATGGACACAAATTGTGATATTCAGTATTTATAATTTAATCCTTTTGACATATTCAACTTTTAAAATGTTTGATTAAGATTTTAGAAGTAAAACATATTTATACTTTTGGCAGTGATAAATATTGGGGATTTTAAAGGTTAACCAATGTAAATGTTGACCTTTTTAATCAGAGCTAGATAGAGCTTGTTCATACTTCTCTTAGTTTCAAAAGGGGCATTATCAGGTATCCCAAGGAGCAATATTTGCAAAATAGAGCAGAAATAATTGAATGACTTTTAAACAGTTCAAAGGAACTGCCTGTGTTAAGGATGTAAGCAATGCAGCGTTCAAGTCCTCAAAGCAAAATCTAACAACGAGTGAAGGAACAATAATGCTTTTTATAAACAATGTGTTGTATGGGTAGCAGGTGATTTTTATTTTAATAGGATGCATTTTTTATCTGATAGTGTCCATTTAGCTTGAGGTTTCTGCTGCTGCATTTCTCTGGAGATAACTGAGTCCCATAAGGGTTAGTTAGTGTTCATCTTTAAGCACAAGGAAAAATACTTGACTGTTCCAAAGAATGCAAATGTTTTTTCAACTACCAGCTGAAAAACAAACTTAGTACTTTGGATACAAAATTTGGACACCATTTGATTCCAGCATAAAATCCTGTTTTTACCTGCACTCTTGAACTCTGATCTTGTAAATCAAAATGTTAAAACTCCTCAGACAAGTGACAAGATGTGGATGTTTTCGGTGGCTTTTGGACATCATGTTCTCTGAACAGTATTGTGACTGACAGATATAACCTAGAAAGTTGGTTTAGTGGCTTGGATTGATGGCTTTGTTATGCAAGCAGAGTGGGAACAAAAGGGGCTTTAAGCTTCAGGATTTATTTTGTCATTTAAAAATAAAGATACTACTTTTCTCTCCTTGAGTGGGATAACTGAGTTGCTGAAGTTAAGCTAGTAGACATTTAGAATTATGTTTTAATCCATTATCAGAAGACCCATTACAAAAAAATGAGATAAAGATTCGGCTGTTTGGGCTGATGGGATAACTGCATTAATGTACTTGGCCATCTTTCTATTGTAATTTTTCCACTCTGCTTGTGTAGAAGGTTAAATATGTAGTAAATCATGTCTCTCTCTCTGTAAGATGTATCTAGTGAAATTATGTTTCTCAGACATACTGTTAAAATTACCTTTTCTAAATTCATTGTTATGCAAATGAATGCAATCAGTGTAAAGTTATTTTTGCAACACACCTTCCAGCCACTGGACACAATTTCCCTTTTCTGACCCACAGCTTCTATAATATACTGACATAGTGTTTGAGGGCTTTTTTGCTTTTTCCCTAAAGATCTGTATTTTTTACATTGGCCAGTTTTTAGACTGCTTATTCCTTTAAGATTGTCCTGTAAATTTAAGATTATTTTGTGATCTTAAATACTAAAGTAATGAATATGTAGTTAATTTACTTTTTTTTCTGTGGTTTTTGGTTTGTTTGTTTCCTGTAAAGAATGGCTTCAGAAAGGCAGCTCAAATGAAGAAAAACCTCTTGCTACCTGAGCCATAGTTTTCCTAACAGCTACTGTATGAGGAGTGTCTCTTTTTGTAGCCTGAAGAACTGGTGCTTGCAGATCTCGTGTAATGAGCACTGTGCCCTTGAGTAACAGTCTGCAGAATTTGTCTTTAGAATTGGAACTGTGGCCTTTAACTTTGGAAACGGTTTATTTGATTCTTTGGGACCATGCTTAGGTGCATACAGGTCAAATAAACCTGTGAACACTGTGGGAAAAGCCAAGTCTGAATGTGGATGATTCTGTTACCACAGTGCTTTTTAATAGGCTACTACAAATATGATAAATAACTCCTGGCTGTAAATTACAAGATACAGAAGAACTACTGTATTCCATGTACTTTGTTTTTTGTGTTGCCTTCTCCAGACACCATCCTGGCCTTTTGCTTTTGATGCTGAGCTTCAGTCTAACAGCGCTGTTCCAGCCATACTGGGAGGCAGTTTTGTTGCTTTAAATACCCAAAAAACATAGTTTATTATTTTTTTCTGTCTTTCCAAGATTTCTCTCTATTTTCAGGATATTTAAATTTTTTTGTTCAAATAAAATCCAGTCTCCTTGCCCCCTTTTTCTCTTGATAAAAGTCTTGATAAAATTAGAATGTGGACAGCAGTTCTACTTCAGTGCTGGTACTCGGCATAAAGCTTGAAGGAGAAATAGATTTGACTTGCCCGGAGAAAAAGTATTTTAAGGTGTCTCTGATGAGGGAAATGAAGCTCTTATCAAGTAGTTACTTGAGCATAACTACCCATATGGATTTTCTTATTCCAGAAATATAACCTTATTGTGAATGAAATAGTAAATAGTTTTTCCTATGTGTAGCTCATAACAGAATACCATATAAAATACAATAAGCACATCCTGCCTCCTCCTAAGTTCATGCCACATGAAAATGCTTGTCTCAGAACAAGTCCATCCATCTGCAGACCTGTCAGGAACGTGGTGCCTTCTGGAGTGAGGTGTGGCCTCAGAATCCCTGGCATTTCATGCCATTTTCTTCTCCCTCACTTCTGCATTTGTTCCTTTAACTGTTGCATTGCAGTGACATACTCCAAGGAGTGGAGTGGCTGGGATTCCCTTGTTCCTACACATCCGTATTTCCTGTGATTTCTTTGCTGCCACAGGTGTATTTCCTGTTCCCTTTGTTGCTTCACAGCTCTATTTCCAAGCAGGTCTCTTTATGTCTACATGAGGCTCCAGCTTGGCTCTGACAGAACCCATCATTTGCACTGACATGTTGCTCACTTATCTTCAGCTCTGTGTTACCATTAGATGGGCAGTTGGCTGCATAGTCTTTGTTTATAGCAGGAATCAAAAGTCTCAGGACTTTTTAATGCTCATTCTATATAAAGGCCCTTTAACTGCAACCTTAACAGAGGTTGCAGGTTAGAAGAGACCTGTAAAAATCCTCTTTACACCCCAGGACCTTGGAGAATCTGTTACCTTTATGCACATCAGAAAGGTTTTGATGCTGCAGGAAAGTATGCACGCTGTATGTTCTAGGTCTCTTGTAGCCACCTCTCATGTCTTCACTGTTAAACCACTGTGTCTCTTCTTTCTGTATCTTCTTTTGAAAGTCTTATCTCTAAACAAAGACATATCTATATTTGATCCTGCATTTTATTGACACTGTTGGGTCCAAACTCTGTGTGAGCAGAGCCTTGTGAACCAGTGAGCGGAAGGTGACATAGTGATTGCATTTTTCAAAGCACTGTTTTAGCTGAATGTCGGGACAAATTATACTGGATAGATTGTTTTCTCATTATATTGGCCTGGGAAACAGAATTTTTATTTGCCTTTCAATATGCTTAGCTTTAAACCAGTTTAAAATTATTTAAAGGTGTTTGTTGGGTTTTTTTTTATACAAGACCATATTTATATGCAATTATTATTTGTAAACGTAATGCTTTTCTTGAAATGCTAAGGTCTAGAGTGAAAATGATGCAAAAGCCTCCATTAAGAATAGCACAGTGAATTGACTTGGAGTTCCAGAAAAGATGTTGTTTATTGAACTTCCAGATTTTCTAGTTAGCTATTACTGAAGTGACAAGTCCATCTTGGTAAGGCAGATGTTACTATATATTCAGCTACCCAGATTGTTACACTAAAATTACATGCAATAATCTCTTGAGCAAGTTTAAGCCAAAATGCTTTCCATTTGGGCACAAAATACAGTTGATCTCTTATTTTCATAGAGTGATGCCTTGTGACTTGAATTGTGATTTTTATGTTTAATTTTTTTTTACAAAATTTTGATTTAAACAGGTCTGGCTTGAGGGTGCTGCAGTAACCACCTCCAGTCAGCTGCTGCAGATGGGTTTTTGGAAGGTTCATGTTTTTTAAATCAGGGAGCTATGAAAAAGGCTGTTAACAGAAACATAAAGACAAAACAATGAAAGTGTTCACTTGAAACTTAGAAAAACTACATCATGACCTAGACTTTATAATTTCAAAGTGGTTTGTTTTTTTCTTTTTAGACTATGCATGCCAAATGTCTTGTCTTTTTCAATGATTTGTAATATACATTTTATGACTGGAAACTTTTTGTACAACATACTCGAATAAATGTTTTGCATTTTATTGGTTTTCTTCTGTCTACTAGCCAACACACAGGTAACATGGGCTATTTGAGATGATTCATCAAAGGAGGCCTTTCAGTGTGGAGAGAGGACATAAAGAGCTGCTGTCTGTGCTCCTAACTGATCAGCTGAATTGTGTTCCAGCAGGGATCGTGGGGTGTGTTCCAGAAACAAACAAATGCTTTCCTTAAATGTGATGGAGCCTGGTGGAACCTGCTGTCCTCTCTGATCAGTACCAACAAAAGCAGGGGGAAGAATATCTGGTGCGGTGTGGAGGATCAGAAACAGGACATCACGCCATGATCAATGTGATCAAGTGAAGCCAACTTTATTATACAGAAATCTATATTTATAATATATTCTAATGTCCCTCTAGCTAATACATGATTGACCATTCCTGTCCATGCATCTCAGACTAAATGCTGTTTGGATCACACAATTCTACACACATATTGCTGTGGTCGTCTAGCCCACCCTTAGTCCTTTTTTTCACTTTCTCGAACTTTGCTGACAACTTGGTGATTCTTGCAGACTCTTCTCTCTTCAGGAATTCACTCTCCTTGGTCCTTGAACTGGTTGCTTTGTTACCAGAAGGCTGGATTGTGAATCTGCTGAATGTGTCCATTGTCCTGCAAAAATTCCTCAGCAATCTGGGGCCGGAGCAGATAAACCTTCACTTGCTTTCTCATTGCCGCTGCACTGAAGGGGTTTTTTGATTTAACCTACTTGACGCTAAATAAGAATGAGAGTAGAAACGGATCCCTGGCAGGGATGGACAGAAGTATTGCCACCAGCTGATGCATTTGTCTGCCTGGCTCAGCCTCCAGCCCATTTTTGAGTACAGACTCAAAAGTGGGCTGGAAGCTGAGCCAGGCTGGCAAATTTTAAATTCATTTTAAACTTGTACCTTAAACGCGTTTCATTTTAAATTTGTACCTTAGGTGGCTGCCCTATTATTAGCAGTAGCAGATGATGTTTCTTGTGGAGTGGTAGGAATGCCTTCTGTTTGAAGTGGGCAGATCCAAAGACAGGATGATATGGTTTACAATACTCTGAGTGTGGGCTCGGGCTACTGACGATGAGCACAGTTTTGGCTTCAGCTTTGCTGTGGTACTCAGTGCCCTCCTCTCATGCCATCTCCTACCTGCACATCACATCTCACCCATGAAAAAGAGCTCCCTAGCGTGGTCCTCTCGCATTCGTTTCTACTTCGACCCACAGCATTCTTACTTAATGGAAGGAAGTGTAATGAAGCTGACTTTAAGGGCATGGGCCTCTCACCCGAGTCACCTAAGGCAGAAGAAAGCCTCGAAGAACAGAAGGATGAATTCCAGGAGAACCCATACGGCAAGTTTCTCTCTGCGGGGATCTCAGCAGAGCTGCTGTTTCACCACCGGGTGCAGCTGTGCGGCGTTTGTGTCTCTGGTGATGCCAGTTTAAAGCCCCTTCCCGTTGCCCTCAGTTCGTGGGGCTGCGCTGAGCCCTGGTACTCGAGCCCTGCTGCCTGAACCCCTCGGGAGCTCGCTCGGGGCCGCGGCCGGCAGCGGCACGGGCGCCCCCGGCCGCGGGGCGGGCGGAGCGCTCGGCCCCGCCCCGGCGGGGGCGGAGGCGGCGCTGGGCCCGCCGGGAGCCGCAGGCCGGGCGCCGCCATTTCTCCCTGCGGCGGCGCAGGGCCTCGGCCGCGCTGACTCTGGGCATGGAGAGCGGCTTCGGCTCCGACTTCGGCTCCGGAGGAGGCGGCGGGGGCAAGCTAGACCCGGTGCTCATCATGGAGCAGGTGAAGGTGCAGATCGCCGTGGCCAACGCGCAGGAGCTCCTGCAGGTCAGAAGGGGCGCGGGGCCGGGCGGGGGCTGGCTCGGTCCCGGCGCAGGTCGCGGGGGACGGCCAGGCCGCCCCGCTCCCCTCGTAACGGGGGCGGCGGCTGCAGTCGGAGCCCCCGGACCGCGCTGCCACTCATGGGCTCTCTCCGCAGCGGATGACGGACAAGTGCTTTCGGAAGTGCATCGGGAAGCCCGGCGGCGCCCTGGACAACTCCGAGCAGGTGAGGGCGGGCGGGAGAGCTGGGCACCCGCGGCCCCTTCGCTCGGGGCTGCCGCTGAGGCTCTGTGTCCCGCAGAAGTGCATCGCCATGTGCATGGACCGGTACATGGACTCCTGGAACACAGTTTCGCGAGCCTACAATTCTCGGCTGCAGCGGGAGAGAGCCAACATGTGACGCCTGCCGGCCTCCGGGCCGAGAGGGACCATGTGGGGAAGGGACAGCGGCCAGTCCAGGTGCTTAGGGGTGAATCCTGCTGCCTTCCCAGCCCCTGCCATGGCAGAGCAATAAAACCTCACTGAACCTTTTGCATCTATTGGCTTTTATTAGCACCAGCTCCAGGAGAGAGTAATTTTTTTTTCCATGAGCTGCTAGGTTTACTTCTTGTCCTTCCTAAGTGTCCAGACTGGCCCAAGGCATTATATCAATTGGTAAGTCCCTACTGAAAGGGCTGTGACAGGCAACGAGCCTTCTGTGGAAAATAGGGACCAAGCCAAGTCAGCAACACAGTACCCTTGCTTGGGATTCCAGCATGGACCCATCCATAAGGTTGTTAGTCCCTTTTCATAGTGGAAAAACTGCCAGAAGATTGTCCACATGCCACCTTGGATCTTTCATTGCTTAGATCTGTATAGCATTTTGTGGGGCTGTCTTTGGGGTCACAGGCTTTGACTCAGCTCAGGCACAGTGTTGGGGAGCAGGACAGCCTTGCAAATGGTTGTATGAGCACAGCTAGGGATGCAGGGTTGAGAAGGACTGGTTGGGAAGTACTTCTTTTCTTTATAGAATAAAGTGTGTTGTGTGGCTGTGATACACTCTAGTTTCTGGTTTGGCTCTGGCACAGGTATTCCCTCTTGGAACCTATATCCTGAGCATAATTTTTTTGATGGAGGAGCATGTCTGCAACAGAGAATGTCAGTCTGCATTGGAGCACAAATCTATTTTTGTGCTTCCACACTGCTCCTGAAAAGGTTGGTTCATGCTGTGTGGTCAGCAGTGGATACAACAGCTGGAAGAGGAGGGTGTTGGAGATCAACAGTGCCCATGTAGTGAGATTTTTTTGTTTAATCCTTTTTTTTTTGAAGCTCTTCTGTATTATATAAAAGATTTTGTGGTTTGCTGGACACAGAGACAGACTGGAAGAATGACACCTCTGTACCTGCTAGGACATTCACTGGGATGTGGTAGAACCTAAAGTGTTCTCACATCAGGTATACTATGAGGAGATATTGGGGTATTTGGACTTACTGAAACTGGAGTTTCCTTTCTAAATTGTAAGAATGACTACTTGAAAATAAAGTGCTTTCAGACATGTTTGCTTAGGGAGCTTTTTACTTTTCTTTAAGGCTGTATGAATTCTGTGGTACTGGCTGTGCAGCAGTGCCATTTCATTCATGGGAGCATCCCACAGGTGTTCTAGCCAGGAATGTGAACCCATCTGGAGCTGAGCATGCCTGGAAGCCAGGTCTCCCACCTAGCTGGTGCTTTGTCTCAGAAAGTTGCAGATCTTGCTGCCAGCTGGGTTGGGATGGAGGAAACATCTTGTTATGCCCAGATGCAGAACTTGAAGCACCAAAAACGAGGAAGGGGTTTGGGGGTACAAGCAGCTGTTCAGTTTTGGTGGCTGAATCAATGGGGACATGTCTAAGTATGCTTTGCCTAAGACTTGGCACATGAGCTCTGCTTCAGTACTTTGCTTGTGAAAAAATTTTGTCTACACGTCTTACCCTGGCTGATAGGATCCGACAAGTGTACTTTGCACTGCTATCTCAGCACTTTAAATTTTTCCCACCCAGCTTAGCCAGACAGTGGTCTGTGTGGTCATTCCTTAATCTGTGCCAGTTTAATCACCTGTTACCTAATGCAGAAGGAGGTGCAGGCGGGTGTGTGACAAGCCCCTCCTTATACTCTAGTACAGGTCAGAGTTTGTGCAGTCTTAACTCCCAAGTGTTCTAGTCTTGCATTCTCTTAGGATCAAATGGTGAGCCAGGAGGTCATCACTGAGCTCTCTAGTGCCACACACTAATTGGAAACAGCATCACACCTTTCCCAAAAGCCACTGTACAGCACAACAACTCCATCAAGTCAGTGAGCTCTGAAGCTTCTGCAAGGGCATAACTTTGGGTCACAAGTCTGTTGGCTTGGTCATGGGATGACAGCTCATAGGTGGAGGTCAGCCAAACTCCATGAATCTTTGCAGATGTTTCCAGGACCCATCCAACTAGGAAGGTCGTGTTTTAATGTGCAGTGTGTTTGGCCAGGTCTTAAGATGTGGGACATGCTTAATTTATTTATAGAAAAGGTTTAGAATTTTTACCTTTCTATGCAAAGCAGTTATCAAATGCCTTGGTGTAACAACCAGCAGGTCACGCAACACTGGCATTTGCTTAATACCTGCAAGGTCGTCTTCACCCCTTTGCAACATCAGAAAAATGTACAGTAGCTGAGGAGTTAGTGCATCCTCTGGCAGTTATTCCTCTCATTCATCGCCTTCCCTGAGTGGTGAAATGCAGTTTCAGAGCTTGAGGTTCTGTACAATCCAGCCTTGGACAGCTGTGACTTTGGTGTAGACACCAGGGAAGTATGGCCTGGCACAGCCATAGCCCCAGCTTGTGATTCCTGCTAGAAACCACTTCCCTGAAGGTTCTTTACATGCCAGGGGCCCACCTGCATCACCCTGCAGAGAGAGGAAAAGGATCCATATCAAGCTACAAGCAGTGCAGTTCCCCCAGCTGTGAAATGTTCTTTCTCCCTGGGGTATGGGCATTTGCTGTCCTGTTCCCCACTTCCCCAGGAGCCCCATTCCAAGCTGGAGGACTGCTCAGTGATGTACCTGCATGAACAATCTGAACCTGGGGGTCTGGAACATAGAAGAGTGTGTTGAGAGGTACAGTGGGGTCACGGAACAGATTAATGCTTAGCATTACCTCTCTGTGTATTTCCCTGACCTGTCACAGGTTGGTGAGGCATACACAGCATGAGGTGTATGCAGGATGGACATGGATAAAAGCAGCAGCCAGCTGATGGATGGACAGACATCTGAGCTAGGGGAGGCAGGGCAGGGCCCTCCTGAGAGAATATAGTCTGCGGGCTTAGCATGAATTTGCTCTGTCCCAGCTGCAGCATTTGCTGCTCTTGCACTCACTGAGCAGCTGTCGACAGTGCCCTGCGGGAAACCAGCGCACAGCATCCTGCTGCTGATCTGGACAGGGTAGAACTTTTTGCAGGCCTGGTCTCCGATCATGTTGACTGCTGCTTTTTGCAGGTGCTTTGACATGAGACCTGAGGAGACAAATATTGCTGTTAGCTGGATAAGGAGCACATGAGAAACAACAGCATGTGAAGTGGGGTCTCTGTGGCCTTGCTTGCCAGAGGGAGAGACCTGCTCTGGGAAAGTCACCTGGTTCAGCAGAGCAAACTCTGGATGGTCCCTTGGGTGTATCGTTTGTCAGGCAGCATGGCTGACCAGACACAAATGATACTGGGTTGGTCCTTGTACTGCAGGAGCACAACTGGAGCAGCTGCTGTGGGGGTGGAGAGCACAGTGGCTGGCATGTAGAAAGCTTGGGAAAGCTTCAAGAGGGAAGAGGTGTAATAAAATGGAGGAGTACACTGCATGGTAGTTGGGAAGAAGATGATGGTGACACCAGGCCTTGCCCAGCTTGGCAAGTATATGCAGCATATGGCCTAGGATGGGAGTGTTTGAGATAGTGGTGTGGGAACTTAGATGTTTGGGCTTGCAGTGTTGCAGTGTAGGTGGTCAAGCATTGAGCTTGGCCATCATGATTGTGGGAGGGTCCCTTTTAGCCAGTACCTCCTTCCTTTGTGGAGCCCCAGCCTGTGATGAAGCATCTGGCCCCTTCACGGAAGATGTGAGAATTGTCTGGGAGACATATAGGTCTGATGGTGCTGCTGAACGTGACAGGTGTGCTCAGTTCCAGTAGTGCCACATCATAGTCTAGGCTGTAGACGTTGTAAAAAGGGTGTTTGTAGATACGAAATATTTTCTCCATTTTGCCATCGATGCCACTCAGGAAGGGTGTTCCTAGAAAGGCCACCCACATTTTGGGGTCACTGTAACTGCAGAAAGACAGCAAACCTGGCTGTTAGGAGCATAGCCTCACAAGGAGGGCCATTCCTCCACTTGCAGGGCTGGCCGCACCTTGGGAGGTCAGTCCCCCTGTCTCCAGAACAGTGGATGTACTCAGGCTTTTTTCCACCCATTCCTGTTCACACTTACCTGTAGGAGTATTTCTCTGATAGGGGGTGTGTGCTTCCTGTGGGACACAGCATGCCAGCCAGGTGCTGGACCACGAGGGAGGGGAAGGGCAGGTTGGCTGATGGGACTGAGGCAAGAACCAGCTGACTTAACTAGCTTATCTCAGACTTACATGTTAAAGCAGTGAGCTGCAGAGAGCAGCCACCGATCAGCAATGAGGACAGCCCCACACTTGTGCTCCTTCCGCTGAAGCCAGAGACTGACTTGCCAGGGCCATTCTCCTCGAGCCGCACTGCTGCCACCCACGATCTTGCTAAAGGCCAGAGCGGTTGTTGAGCCACAGTCTGGAACACATGAAGAAGCACCATGGTTTTCAGTAACCGTAAATGAAAGGAATTACTTCCTGTCTTCCTTAACCTGTGCTGTGGGACAGCCTTCTGGGGAAGCATGCACAGGACAGTAGGATGTGATGAATTCAGTTCACCCAGCTGAGGCGAGGCTTGACAGACAGGGTATATTTTGCAGACTTGTTATCCCATATCACACCTTCCAAGGATGTGGTATGCAAGGAGTGGGTATTTGGATGGACTGGCTCAGCTATCAAATGGCAAAAAATGTGCAGCCCAAAGTGCAGTCCCAGGGATGCCAAGATGCTTTCTGGGCTGCCATGTTGTGCAGCACTGTCTTGCCCACCTTGTGCTACCAGACTGATTGGCCAAAAGACCTGTGTGCTGGGAAATGTGTTCTAATGCCTGTAGCAGAGTAGAAGAGTCCACACTTTCTGGCAGTAAATTGGGATCCAGCTCATCCAGCTTTATCTTGTTTTAGGGTCTGGCAGAGCAAGTATGATCTGGACCCCAGTGGGCTGGCCTAGGTCCCCAGTGTCTGAGCCCAAGACAGCCAGTGTGAATACAGTGGGTACCACTGTGGAATCTGGGTCATGTAGATCACAGCTGACAGCAGCCATGGGCTACAGAAGAGCACTCACCACAGTTGTGCTCGTCGAAGCCGTTGCTGCAGTCCACAACACCATCACATTCAGGATTTTCTTTTCCAATACACACCTTGCTGGAACACTTGAAAGTGAGGCTGGTACAAGGCACCACTGGAAGGCAATAACCCATGACCTGCTCAGTACCCTCTGTGCTGGAGGCCTCCTGCTAACATGTCAGTGCATCAGTTACCAGTTTTACCTGGGGTTTGGGTAGGCTTGGCAGTCTTGGTCGTTCTCAGAGCTGTGGAGGTTTCACTCATGGTTGTACTAATTTTTGTCTCCAGGGTGGTTCTGTTGGCTGGACCTGCAGCCATTGTGCTGGGCTGGATAAAAATGGCTGTGGTGGAAGTTCTAGGGATGGCTGAACTGGGAGGGATGCTTGTACCACCACTGGGCAACTGGGAGATGGTGTCCAGGATCCAGTCTGTGAGTTTGGTAATTCTGGAATACACACCAGGTCTCATAGCCTGGGCACAACCAAATCCCCAGCTCACGATGCCAGCAAGATAAAACACTCCTGGGGTCACCTCACAAGCCAAGGGCCCACCTGAATCTCCCTGCAGAAGAAGCAAGGCAATGGCTGCTGAGTCCAATCACATCTGCCCCTCAGACACACCAGAAGGACTTAACTACCCCCAACTCTTCTTTCTCCAGCCTTGTGGACCTGTTTGCTGTCATGCAGTGTGTATGCAGGGCATGAGTGTGGAGAAGTTGAAGTTGGGGTCAGTGGCTCAACCTGTCAGCACATTTCTACAGCTGCCACCAACTGCCACTGATTCACTGCCACAGGAGGACAGCTGCTTCATCCAGGATTTGTCAGAGTGGGATGTTGGTTTAAGTAATTCTCAGCTTGATGGAGCTTTATTTACTTCTCTAAATCTCCAAAGTAGTGGGGTGGGGTTTTTTGTGCTCAAGTACATGTGAGTTAACACAGCTGGATTACAGTAGCTCAGTAAATATTTCACAAGGATCTGCTGAAGGCAGAGTTAGCCCAGCTTTCTAGAACAATCTACAGAGTAGACAAATCCCACACTTTTACCTGGCATGAGTCTACCATCCCCTCCATGAAGCCAGCACAGATCATTCGGTCAGTGAGGGAGAAGTTGTAGAGGAAGTTGCAGGTGTTCTGTTCTATGATGCCCACAGATGCTTTCTGCAGGATCTCGGGCTTGGTGTCTGCATGAAAACCACAGAATTAGTGACTGCAGCAGAGAGAAGGAGCTAGCTAATGGCTTTCTGACTGACTCAACACATATTTTGGGAAAACAGGCTCTAATCCCACATGGGAATTGAGTCCTATGTAACCTGTTTTCTCTGCAGCCCTGAAACTTGTGGCTCCCCCAAGGGTGCAGTTTCCTGTCTGTGCTAAGGATTCTGCACACAGTTTGTGTCCCATGCCCCTGAGAGTTCAGCTTCTTGTCAGCTGGACTTCTTTGGTATCACACGTGCCACTCTCAGGCCTTCTCCCTATAGTGGGATCTTTGCTTATGCTCATTGCTTGGAACATCTCTGTGACTGAGAGTGGCTGCTGTGGCTGACATCCCATCCTGAAAGAGCTGCAGAAGGCTCTGAGGCAAGTGCCTGGCACTTGCTTAGCACAGTAGAGCTACTGAGGGCAGTGCAGCAGACTTCTCCTGGTTTCCACCAAGCTGCTCTCTCTATTTTCTTCTTTGCTGGTGACTGCTAGGTAACTGTGGCTTAAGGTAGCGCTCTGTGTGCCTTTATTCTTGCTTATTCTTGTGTTTCTGTCAGTTCCTGACTGTCCCTGTTACTGACCCCTGTTCTATATGTTCCCAGGACTGTGAATCACAGTGGCACGGGCTTTGCTGCTCAGGGTATCACTGTGCCGAGGCAAATCAGCAGGTAATGCATTACTACTTACCATTCCCTTCCTGGAGGTCACCCCATCCAGAAATGAGGCATTTCTTGCCAACAGGAAACTTCTGCATGGCAAGTGGGAGGCACACGGGCTGTATGTATTTGTTGAAGACAAGAGGTCTTGCCAGTTCAAGTACAGCAATATCAAAGTCTAGAATCATGGGATTGAAGAGGGGATGTGGGATCACTCTTGTTACATTCACTTTCACTGCATTCTTGTCTGTTCCATTTATTGATGTTGTTCCCACATAGGCTTCAATCTCTTCTGGCATTGTCCTGCAAATATATAAACCTAAATGTACATACTCACACACTTATCCCTGGCATGAATTCTGACATTGAAATTAGAGACAGCTTTACATGATCAGCATGTAGCAGAGCAGCCCTGCTAAGTGAGGCCCAAAGAACTATTTCCAGCAGTGGCACCTGCTTCCTTTTGATTGTTTTCCACCAACTTTTGGTGATTATTTGGTATCTTAAAAAGGCAGTCAAAAGACATTCCCTAAACACTTTGTACCCTTCATTATTGTACAGTCCCATCAAACACTGCCTTCCCATTAGTTATTTTTTTTTCCCCAAGTCTAGTCTGATCTATTTTGTTGTGCTTGTTATGATGCTGTTCCACACCCTGCTCTTCCCTGAGCCTTGTGTACACATTCACACAGTGTTACTCTTGCCCTCCCTGTGATGTTGGAGCAGTTGGTGTGCTGTGCACTACCAGCAGCATCCCACTCATCTCCCTTGTTTCTTACTGCATTCCTGTGCTCATTAACTGCCCCGCCACAGGATTGCTGCTGTCAGGGCAATATCCACCTGTTTCTGACCTCTTGTTTTGAATTGCAACAGCTGATGGAGACTCATCCTCATTCACAGACAGACAGCACTGCTAGTTTTGCTGTGTACCTCATTTCACACTTGCCTACCTTGCATTTCACTTGCTTCTTTATTGCCCAGCTGTTTAATGCATGAAGTTGCCTTAAAATCCTTCAGAGTTAGTAACCCACCTTTTCTGCTTTCAGGAATTTATTCTTGACAAGCATTATCTTCTTGCTACCCACTTCTTTAGGCTATTTATAAACCTAGGCTTGGGTTATTGCAGTTTAACAGAACTATGCAGGATTGAACTGAGCATTTTCTCTTTATCAGCTGACCATATGTCTCTATTTCACATATTACGGACAATTTTGTAAGGTTACTTTATTAAAGAAACAATCTTGTGGCACTCCTCCTTCCACTCCTCTTAAATATGTTGTCCTTTCTCTTTGATTAGGCTGCTTTAACCTTTCTCTGCCTCATTCCAACCTCTCCACAAGCTTACTTTTGCCATGAATGTCTAGTTATAGCAAAAATTAATGTCCAACATGTGTTCTTGATTTCCATTTCTTGTCTGGATTTGGTTGCACAGCTCTGTGCCAGTGGGCAGGTGAGCTGGAGCAGGGACAGGGATGGGCTCTTACTCATTGAAGCAGTGAGCTGCTGACAGCAGCCAGCGGTCCCCAATGATGGTGGCTCCACAGAAATGTCTGGAGTCTTCTTTCAGGCTGACTTGCCAAGGGATCTCTCCTCTGGAAGCATCTGTTCCTCCCACAATCTTGCTAGGTTTAGAGAACCCGGGTCGTCCTCCGCACTCTGAACAAAAGTCAAAGCATGACTTGTGAGTATTCCTAGCAGAAGACAAGCAAAGAAAGACTTTGCTCTCTCTAACCAGTAAGCCTTAGCAGGGACAAGTTAGGCCTGAGGTGTAAGATATCTACCCAAGCCCTGCTGGCTGATAGTGGCAGTGCCTGATGGTGGCCGTTTACAGCTAGACTTTCACATAAACTGCTGTTCTGCATCTTGCTCTTGGCAAGTCATGAATCCTGGGCCTTTGTTGAAGGCAGAGTAATCAGTAGCTCCCTGCCTCTTAGCCTTGCCATTCCAGATAAAAAGTTTGTTCTAGATTTAGAAAAATACCCTTCATTTGCATCTCCTTGCAAAGCTGCTGGAAATGCTCCTTGGAGTGGAAAGGTCATCCTGCAGACATTTGCCCTCCTTCCCTTCAGGGATCATGGCTGCTGTGAAGGGGCAGCCGTCAGTTTTGAACTACTGAGAAGTCCTTAGGTGGCAAGCAAAAGTAAGTGATCAACAGGTTAAATATTGTCAGATGCTGCTGTGCTTTAGTGACCTGCCAGAGCAGACCAGTTACACAGCAAGATTACACAGTCACAAAAGCAAAGAAGTGTATGGAACTGCAGAGGTACTGAGTGACTTTGCCAAGTTGCTCTGGACTGAGCCAGGGCAGCCATATAGTGTCATTTGTGCCTTAGCACTTTGGCAAAGTTGTGTGAATCACCCTACAAAAAGTCAGCTTAGGTCAGCAGAGGACTGAACCTGATGTTTGGACCTGTACCTGCCACTCTGCCTGCCAAGGTGCACCCGCTGTGGGTGCTCATACCTTGTGGTCCTGCTGCAGTTGCTGGCCTGCTGGCAGCTGGGGCTGGTAAGGTGGTTGGGGTTGCTCTGGTGGTGGTGTTGACGTCTTCAGCGTTGACCATGTTACTGCTAGTCCTGAAGTGCATTGGAGGAACAGTACGGACTATGGAGGTAGGGAAGGCTGAAATAGCATCCAAGATCCAGTCTCTGAGTTTGGTAACACGTGTGTAAACCCCAGGCCGTCTGGCTTCAGCACATCCAATACCCCAGCTCACAATTCCCGCCAGAAAAAACCTGCCAGATGGTTCTTGGCAAACCAGAGGTCCACCAGAGTCACCCTGCAAGAGGAAGCAGATTATGAGCTCTCCCTGGGGATGCACTGAGCTTGCCCTGGCCAGCCTCAGCATCCGTCTACCAGGTAGGGTCTCTCTGTCCCTGTGTATCCTAACTCACTTCATATTTCTTCCAGCCTAGTGATGAGTGGAGCATCTCTGTGCTGGCCTTTGGGTGTCTCTCCATGTGGGCTGTCCTGCTGTTACACAGAAGCCTTGTGCCCTTTATATGCCATAAAATCAAATGACACAATCTGTAAAATCTAGGATTAAACATTTCTACTGCTTTAATAGTTTGTTAAACCTCATAAAGGTTAATCCTAGCAGCCTGTACACAGCCAGATGATGAGTGTTCATTGCCTGATACACAACCCAGGGAGACCACAGTAATGTTTACATAAGATTTTCTTGATATGGCCTATGGTTCCCTGGTCAGTTCTTGGTTATTGTGCAGTCCTGTAACTATCATGATGGCCTTGTAGTGTCTGTGAAGCTGGTAATGCCTTCTGAGGATGAGATTGCTCTAGCTCAGTGATTAATAACCAGATGAGTCACATTCATCACCCAACCTTGAATCTTCAATTCTTGGCCTCTTCTTTGGTATTTGTGCTGTATTTGATGCAGAAATACAAAGCACTACCACCAGAAAAATGCAGATTTGTTTAGCTGGTTTCTGTCGGTTTGAATGTTCCTGCCAAACCACAGAGACTGACCTGGAAATCACAGTCCTCCTCCAGCATCACAGTTCTCCTCTGTCCATAATGTCAAAGGCAGGCCTGGTTCCAGCTGACCACTTGCAGTTCCAGGATGGATAAAGGCTAACTAAAAAACCACTCTGTTGTTCACCAAAAACTGTTGTGTATGTTTGAGTTTCCAGATAGCCCTTTGGCTATCTGGATTTTTATCTGAAAACTGTGTGGAATATTGGTAGGGCCAGACTTGGTGACAGCTCAGGAAGATGAGAAAAGTAGTTAATTAGCTGAAAGAGCCCCTTAAACAACAGTGCCCTGCTCTAAGCAGTAGAGAACATATCCTCATTTGTGTCTTACACAGTCACTGATCTATGCTTGGGTCCAAGGCAGGACCTCAAACCTCAATGGGAAACAGTGAACATAGTGTCAGTTCTGCTTCTTGAAGTGTCACTAGATGCATACAAGGAGGGAAAAGCCTTATGCAGGCAGGTGTGGCATCTTCTCTGGGCAAAGCTTACCTGGCAGGAGTCAACTTTCCCCTCCAGGTAGCCAGCACACATCATCCTGTCTGTGAGGACATGGCTGTAGAGACTGGAACATAGGTTCTGATCTAACAGCTCCACTGTTGCTTTCTGCAGGAACTCGGGTTTCACCACTGAATGAGAAAATCACAATTGTGAGCTCAGTGCAGGAAGTCCTGCACAGGATCATCAGCTCAGCCCACCTCAGCTGGCCAGAGCAAGGTCCGAGTTCCCTTCCCTGATGCATTCTGCCCCACTCACACCCCACCATGTCTCCTCTGCTGCCTGCTATGCTTTGCTTACAGAAATCCTCCTTGAGGTAGCCCCAGCCAGAGATAAGGCACTTCTTGCTGGTGGGGAAGTGATGGCCAGCATCTGGCAGGCACACAGGCTGGATGTACTTAGTGAAGGTCACAGGTCTCTTCAGCTCCAGCACGGCCACATCATAGTCAGCTGTGTCAGCATTGTAAGAGGGGTGTGGGATGATCTGTGAAATGTCCATTTTCACTGCACTGCTGTCAGAGCCTCTGAGGGAGGTGGTTCCTGTGTAAGCTGCCCACATGGCTGGGTCCTGAAACCTAGGGGAGAGACAGTGGGGTCCATGTGAGCCTGCAGCCACAACATTGTCCTGCAAACCCAAGCTGCCTACTGCCCATCCTGCCATCCACTGCAGAAGTGATGGAAACTCCTCATTCTCCTTGTGGTGGGGCAGAGAGATGCAACGGGAGCTTGAGCAGATAGGGCAGCTTTTGGAACAGGTATGGAGGGTGAAAAGTGTTGTGACTGAAACTTACTCAGTAAAGCAGTGAGCAGCAGACACCAGCCACTTCTCTGTGAGGATTGCAGCACCACAAAAGTGCTCATTGTTCTCTCGAAGGCTGACTTGCCAGGGGAACTCCCCTCTGGATGCCTCTGAGCCTCCAACTATCCTGCTGGCAGTCTGCATGGCAGGGCGACTCCCACAGTCTGAAAGGGAGGAGAAAGTCAGTGCATCGGGATCTTGCTACTGCACCCCAGCAACATGCTCT